CACCGAACTAAATAGGGATTTTTTCGCATCAAAATATTTTGAAGTTATTGTTAAGAATAAGGTAAGTAATTATGGTTGAGTTGCCATTGTGTTGAAAAAAAAAAACAAAATTCAGTGATTAATAAATGGAATTCTTGTACATGAGATTCATTTTTTGTTTATCGTCATTTTAGCAATGGTTTGGTGTGTTTGGAACGTAACTGTAGAAGTCACTCGATGTCAAATGGAAAGATTCACAGTCCGTTTTGTGACAGTCTTTGTTTTCATTTCAAAATAAAAAAAAACATTTTCATCGTTTTAATCAGGACACAGCGTTATATAGTATAAGAAGTTATTCATTTGAATTGTGATATGAGTGTGTTCTCATTTTTTGTTTGTAACAAATTGTGCTTTGCTTGTAAAAGGAATTCTTGAGAATTATGTGTGAGTGTTTATATTAGAGTATGAAACAATTTGTTTGTCGTCATTTTTGGCTAACATTTGTTCCAATGATTTTGTTTGTTCGATGTTAAACGGATAAATTCACTGTTGGTTTTGAGATTGTCTCTGTTGTTATTTCAAAATAAGAAAGCATTCATAAAATTGACGGTGAATATTCCAACAAAATTTTCATCTGCGGAATATTGGAAAACATTTCATCATTTGAATCAGAATACAGAGTGACATCGTTGAGGTAAGAAGTGATTAATTTGAATTGTGATATAAGTGATTGTCATTTAAATTGTGATCTCATTTTATTCGTAATCTATGCTTTTTTTGTTGCATTTTTTTTCTAAATTTGTGTCTATTTTTTATTTTCGAATAATTTGATCAGTTTTTTGAGAATGAACAGAAAAAGACATGGATGACGACGAGCTCGATGATAATCAACCAGAAGAAAGCAAATACGTTGTAATAAAATGTGGACTTCAAACAATCCTGCGACAACAACATGAACGGATTGAAAGAGTTGGAGAAGTTGTGACCAAAATGCTATTCGAGCGCAGTGTTCAAATGACAGAAGTGGCAGCATTGGCATCACTTTCTATTCTTTTTATTTTGAATGAAGCACTTGATAATGACGATCGTGCATTTTTTTTGAAACCACATCCAAGCCTGTTCATTGCCGATTGTTTCAGAGCGGTATTAAACCAACACGTTAACAATATCAATAGTCAATATCGGATATTGCCCGAGTTTCGTTTCATGGTAGAAAGAAACAGTGAAGAACAGTTCCGATGGCCAGATGATGAAAAGTTGGGAAATGTTTTGAGATATTTTTATAAACAATATATCACAAACATTCAAACCAATACCAACACATGGTGTGAAAAACGAATTTTTTTCGAATGCGTTGTTGGTATCGCAATCGATTCCACAATGGCTCAAGATTTGATAACATCGACATCAGAAATGCCAAAGAGTTTTCATATCGATTTAAGAATTTAACAAATGGTGATAATGGTAATAATGTGGATCCACAACGTATAGATGTCCTATTAACATCGAAATATTAACATATCTTATTACTAAATACGAAAAATCCTTTATTAACTATTAACAACCAATCATACTACGCATAGTAACATGAGTAGTAGTATTAGGATCGATCTTAATAGCGAGTAGTAGTATGTTTATTATCTATTAAGATGCCGAAGTTAATACGCGCCATTTGCAATTTTTCGTAAACAAACAATATTTTGACCAATTCAATTTTTATCACATTTTTTGCTTATTTGTAATTTTTATTGAATTTTTTAATTTTTTATGAATTTTATTGGAATTTATTATTTATTAGAAAATTATTTTCGTTTTTTTAAGAAGAAAAAAGTGAATAAATAATAATAGTATATTGATTTCATTCTTTTCAAGTGGTTCTCTAATGACATGAAGTATTGAACGCGCCCTTTTTTACGTTTGACGTAAGGTGCATTTTGTCAGTTCTATATGTTAAGCATAGCTGTGACGTACGAACCACAGTTTGTATAAATCGTTGTTTACCGAACAAAAACAAAATAAATTTCTTCTTAAAAAAACGAAAATAATTTTCTAATAAATAATAAATTCCAATAAAATTCATAAAAAATTAAAAAATTCAATAAAAATTACAAATAAGCAAAAAATGTGATAAAAATTGAATTGGTCAAAATATTGTTTGTTTACGAAAAATTGCAAATGGCGCGTATTAACTTCGGCATCTTAATAGATAATAAACATACTACTACTCGCTATTAAGATCGATCCTAATACTACTACCCATGTTAATATGCGTAGTATGATTGGTTGTTAATAGTTAATAGCATCCTAATAAATATTATCATAATACAAAATGTATTAAGATATCGGATTTGGCACATCTATACCACAACGCGTTGAAAAATTCAATATTTTAATGAGAGATTTGACTGAAATTGGATGGTCGGGAACAGTGAGTATGAAATTTTTCGCAAAATATCGTTGGTTTGAATCACTGTGGTTGTTCGGTCAAATGCAACGGCAAATAGAAGTGTATCACAGTCATGCCGAACAATGGCATACCATTCATGAAATGTTTCGTAACAATCCGAACTTTCAAGAGCCAACAATCAATCGACCACCAAAAATAAGCAGTTTTGCTCTTATACCATTATGCGACTACCATTTGAAAAACGTGCGATTGGACATTAAGGACTTGTATTATAAAATTGTAAACGAGCTTGATTTGGTGCCTTCTTTTCTCAATACGCGGACCAACCGGATGAATAAGAGAAATTTAAAGTACTACACCCAAACTGATCGATCAGGTCTATGGAATATGTTGTTCGATGTCGGTAAAATAAATAAATTGGGCAAATCGAAACCATTCCATCATCAGATTTTGACCGATAGTGTTTCAATATCCATAATGTACAAGAAACCACAGCGACAACAACGACCACAGCGACAACAACGACCACAGCAAACAACCCAAGCGAATCGGGGGCCGGAAAAACTCATTGGCAAGAAATACATCATTGGAATCGATCCGAATGAAAAATCGTGGTTAACTGTAGTGCGTCGCAACATTCAAAAAACACCTGATGAGCCGGCTGTTGAGGTAGGATATTTTGAAATGTAATTTGAAATGGTTTTGAATAGAAACTCATAGTTTTTTGTATCATTTTGCATTTTGAAGGAAAACATTATAATACCAAACCAGCGTTTTCATTGGGAAACTCAGCAGAAAAAACGAGACAAAGAAGCGAAAAAGTTGGCTGGATGGTTTGATATCGAAGAGAAGGAACATCTCAAAACATACCCATATCGTCCACCATCACCACGTAATTCAACATGGAAATCATACATTGAATATCGCATTAAAATGTTACGAAAAGGAATGGCAGCTTATGCGACGCGTGAATATGCACGACTGGATTTAGACCATCACATTCGCTCGACCAGAGTAAATGATCAAATCGCCGTGCGTGTGACAAACAACAAACCGTCGTTGGTTCAATTTGGTGCTTGGGCGATGAAACCCGATCGACCGTTTGGAATAAAAAAGCGTAAAAGATGTCCGGGATCGCGTAAGTTTCGTGTGAGCATTAAGAAACTTGGACATTCAGAAGTTGAAATGCAAGATGAATGGGGAACATCACAAACATGCGCGAATTGTCAGGAACGTTTTCCAAGGCACACAAAAGATGATCGATTTTAAGTGTGCTACGATTGTGGAGCGAAAAAGATTGATGGCCTGCCAGATTCAGTCGCTGGACTGCCAGATATCATTGTGTCAACGGTCAACAGACGTGTTTTGAGAAGAAAACGTGCAATTATTAAGCGACAAATTATCGATGGCAATCGTGAGGCTGTGAACGAAAAACTTCGGACTGGGCGTTTAATGTCAAAGGTTAAAGTTACCTACAAAAATTGGCCATTAAATGTTGATGATGATGATGTTGTTCCACAAACAGTTACTTGGCACCGAGATATTGTTGCAGCAAAATGCATTATGCTCAAAGGTATGAATCAATTGGAAACAGAATATTCATTATTTAATGTATTTGCTTTAAATTACATAGGACTTTGCCGGATCTTTGATGTACCATTGCCAGTTTCATTGTTAAGACCGCCGGACTAAAACAACAATGTCAACTAACAAACATCATCAATTAATCATACATTCAAAAAATTACATAAAATAAAATATTTTAACTATTATAGTTAGCGTAGCTAGACATGAACAGACTATATAAAGTCTTGTGGTCTAGTTGTACAATAGTACAACATTGTACGGAGGGGGAGTGCCCGTAGGTGAGTAAAGTTTTTAATTTAAAAAAAGTATTTTATACCCAGTTCAACTGATACTAATGGTTGTCTTTCCCTTTTTCCATGTTTTCACACCTGAATGTTCCACCATGCCAAACCTATGGAAATGACTGAAA